GATCTGGCACCATCAGACTTCTTTCTGTTCCTTAACCTAAAAAAGCACTTGGGAGGTCAAAGATTTTCGACAAACGACGAGGTCAAAGCAGCTGTAGACGCATATTTTGACTCTAAGGAAGAATCATTTTTTTTCAACGGTCTAAATGCTTGGAAGGGGAGGTGGCAAAAGTGTATTGAACTTGATGGTGATTATGTAGAAAAATAAAAATATAACTGATTTAGTATGTGTTTATTTTCTTGGTTAGGCCGAGTACTTTTCAATCCACCCTCGTATCTTTAGTGACTTGTTGGGCTTGTTATATAGAAATGGTACTAAAAATATGTAAAACCCGTTATAAGTACGTGTTTAAATTAAGGGTTTACACAAGCTAAGTCCATTCTTCTCCTGTTTGTGGATTTTAAGCTAAATGGAAGTTTGGTATGCTGTTTTAATATGATGTTCAGAATAAACAACTGATGGACAGACGTACACTACGTGTCAAATAAAGTTGATGTGTAGGAAACATGAAAGGACGGAAAGTGACTACCTTTAGAAATTCTCTCTGAGCACGTTTTAGTGGGAGCAATATTGTTTTAGAAGCACCACCCCAGGAAGTAATGCCATAAGTGAGTATGGATTGACACAAATCTAAATAGACCTGTCTTATCAAATTAAAGTCGGCGATGTTATTTAGAAGAGATACTTAAAAATATATTATAATTTACGAAATCTAGCACAAATTAAATCGATGTGCTTGCGAAAATTTAAATTTGTGTCAAGGGTGATACCTAGATATTTTATTATGTCTGTTTTTGTTAATGCGGGAATTTCACATGCAGTGTCATCATACGAGCTACAGTTATGAGCGTAAATATTTAGGTGAGTAGGTATGTTATTGTTTCTCATTAAAAATAACGTATATTGTGCTTTAACTGCGTTTAAATTTATGTATGATACTATTTTACAGCCTTGCTGAGCGTATTTATAAACCTGAGTTAGCTGAGAACAACAGAGCTATGTCATCCGCATACGACATTATTTTTTTTTATAGGATAGGGTGACAAACGAGCACACAGCCCACCTGATGGTAAGTGGTTGCTATGGCCCATAGACATCTACATCTATCCTCGATTACGAATCAAAATGCAGATGCGTTGTCACCCGTGAGGACTAAGATGGAATGCCTCGTTTCCAGTAAAAAGGGTCTCCGGTTCTCTACACTTACCATACGAAATACAGCAGCATTAAGCTACTATTTCACGCTGGTATTCTGTGAGAGCGTGGTCCTTCCCCGGTCGAGCCGACCCATTCGTGCTACAACTATACTACTAATATAACTGCAGCATGGCTCTACCACGTATAAAACCATTTTGAAGTTGGATATTACGTAAGTCATTTAAATAAATTAGAAATAATGTAGGCCCCAGGATACTGCCCTGAGGGATGCTGTCAGAGCTGTTATAATTCAATACTTGTATACTCACCGATTTTAATACATCACTGAGAGTGATCACTAAGGAAATCGGTAAAAAGTTGTAGTTCAGTTCCCCTTATGCTAAGTGTTTCAAGCTTTTTTAATAGTAGACGGCAAGAAATAGAATCAAATGCTACGTCAAGTTCTAAAAAGATTCGAATTAAGTGCATACCAATGTCAAGATTACTTGTGACATAAACTGTAAATTGGTGCAAGACATAATTACATTATTTCTTAGGCCTAAAACCGAATGGCCTGTCTGACAGCAAATTGTTAGTATCTAGGTATTTTATTAACTTGGCATTTATGACTTTTTCTAATATTTTTTGTGTAAACCAGCTAAAACTGAATTCGGGCTATAGTTATAAAAAAAGAAAAAAACGTGTTAACGGGGCGGCTAGGAAATGTTTTTACATTTTGAGTATACTATTAAGTATATTGTTCCACCTAATTGCACAATATCTCTTAAGCCAGTTATTATACTTTAAATCTCATCAATGTCGGTATTCAAAAATACAAAAGAATTTAATTTTGAAAAGGATGTGGGCATAAAAATTTGATTTCCAGTGTTGCTTCATTTTAAAGTATTATTTGCAATTTTTTGTCAACATTAATAAAAAAAATATTCACTTTATTAGTCGCTTCGTTTGGGCTTTTCTCTAGTGAAAGTAGTTCAAGTGGTGGTCCAAGGGTTTTTGAACTGAAGGTTTAATAAATTTCCATACAAATTTACTGTTTTTACCGGCCTTTTGTAAAACATTTTTATCATATTGTATTTTAATTTTTTTTATAGTTTATTGCAAAAATTTCTATATCTTTTCTATGTAGCAGAAAATATTAAATTATCCTAAGAAAGTTTTGATTGTAAATGTAGTTTGTCTCTATTTCTTATACAGTGGACGAGACCAGGTGTTATCCAAGGTTTAATATTATAATACTTACGTGACAGTTTTATTGTTGATGTATTACATATTTTATTTTATTATTGTTTGATTATTGTTGATATATACAGGCTACGATCGCATAGCTCCAGTTGCCATTAAGGTGCCCCTAGTCGATGGCACGAACTAAGTGGTGGGCGGGGTAAAAATGCATGCTATCTCAGCCGACATCACGTGCGAAAGGGATAGACGCTGTGATGAGCAGTAAGAAGCTAGTGCACACACACATACGCACTCGAGTGCTCGTCATCACTTACCTACCTATACGATTCATTTTTGAATAATAACATAAACTCAAACGGCAATTGTGAGCTCCATGCCGCAGTTGCTTAGTAATGAGACTGCGCTGGGGGCCGCGGGTTTGAATCCCGCCCGGAACAAATATTTGTATGGATTACAAATAGCTGTTCCGGGTCTGAATGTTTGTCCTTGTGCAATTTATGTTTTTAAACTGCCTCCACGATACTGGAGAAAATCCTACTGTGGGGGTAACGTATTTTATAAAGAGAAAGGAAAGAGAAAGCAAATTGGTGTTATTGTAACTTAGAATCTGCTGTGTGAAACGTAATTATTATGAACCCAATTTATGTAGTTGTTATTATGAAAGTTCTTATGTGAACTTAAGTAGATGTTGTTATTATATAACAATTCCATTGATTTGTTTTTACCTACTTTTTAACCGACTTCGAAAAAAGGAGGTGGTTCTCAATTCGTTGGTTTTTGTTTATGTATGTTCTGTCCCCCGATTTCTCGAAGATGCCTGAACCGATTTGAAAAATTATTTTTTTGTTTGAAAGGATATATTTTCCAGATAATCCCACGGTAATCCATGATGGTCAGGTCAGCATCTGTTGATGGGATCTTGGAGAAATCGGGGGCACTCTTCAATAAATGACAGCAAATCAACCGGGATTGCTGCTATCGCCTATCGATGCATTCTTTACGCAATCACACAATATAATATCACGCCTGTTCCCAATAAACGGAAATAACTCTCAACTAAAAATGGTAACATAAAAAACCTTTTTTTGAAAAAAAAAATATAACCATTTCTAAAACAAATACAAAAAAGTGTAACATAATTATGTTTTCTTTATGTTTTTGTATTTTATTGTAGGTTATGCGAATATTACTGTAGGCACTATGTATTCTAAATAGGTATTTACTTACCATAGCTAGTTAGCTATTAATAGCCCACAGGCAAGTCCCCGAAGAATATGCCAGCCAGTGTCAGGATAACTGCTTTTTCGACAGCGCGGTTTTGATGTGAGTGGGGCTTTTATATAGGTTAATTAAATAAATAAAAAAATGTTAATTTGTAAATTGTTTATTGATTGTTTGTGTTCAATAGCGGTTTGCAATATTCTCTTGGTACTTAGAAAGTTATCAAAAATAGGCATTGTGTCACTGCATGGACAAGCACAAACGTCTATCAAAATAGTAACGTATATAAACGGAATACTAACAGCACAGACTTCCTTACAGAAGTCCAAAGAACACGTCTAGACAAGGTAAGTAATTAGAACAAAACTACAATTTAGAGATCGACTGTACTATTTTATTTAGTATTAGCTTATATAGTAGTATAGTAAATTATATATAAAAATTATGAGTATGTCTGAGGTAAGGTTAAATATAAACAAATATTTTTCCAAGTGCGAATCGGACTTCCGAGCTTCCGTACCATCTTACAAGATTTAAATACCTATACATATTACTATCGATCAAAAAAGCTAAAAATACACGTTTCTTTTTCTAGTAGAAAATCCTTTAATTTCAAATTAATTTTTACTATTTGCTACCTATTACGGATCATGAGATGCAGCCCGCTGACAGACACACACGGACAGCGGAGGCTCCGTATTAGGGCCCTGCTGGTTACCCTTCGGGTACCGAATCCTAAAAAGTACTTAGTTGTCTACTCACATCTGTATGATTCTTTCTTCAAAGGACCATATTAGCCTGGTTCTCGTATTACATGACCAATGTAATACCTGGACTGACCTCTCTGAGTTTGTTTCGGCAGATCGGGTGCTTCTTCTCAGTTTCATGTTTTTGTTATGTTAAAGTGTTTAAAAAAAAACAACTCACAAAACAAATTTTATTCATCATTGACTGCCCTTCTTAGATTCTTATGTACTTACATAAATTACTCATTCCTCATCGCTCGCTCCTACATAACATGCGTGTGTTGTGAAGTTTATCTTGTATGCGATAACTACCCTCTAAAACCCAATATGTTGAACAAATGTGATTACTGCAGCAAAAAAATTACGAAATCTAAACCGGGCCTATAATGCAATCGCTGCGAAAAACCAGTTCATTTTAACAACCATTGCACTGGACTTACCAATAAGCAACTGGCTGCACTGAAGGCTTCCGAAAACCTAGAGTGGAATTGTCAAGACTGCCAAGAAAAGACACCCCGACGTAGCTCAATAGTGATCCCTAACGATGACGAAGACGACGAACATTACTCTGAGTCTCCCACTATACAGATCGATGTTAAAAAACTGCTGGGTGATATATCTAAAGAGGTAGAAAGAGCCATAAAAAAGGAAATGAAAGACCTCACTCAATCACTCCAATTTCAATCAGATAAAATGGACGAACTGCTTAAAAACATAGAAATTATGCAAGATAATATTTCTAATCTCCAAAAGAAAAACACAGAACTTACCAATAAAAATAACAACCTAGAAACGCGGGTAGGTGCGCTAGAACAGCGCATTCAAGAAATAGAACAACAAAGGCTACATAAAAACATTGAAATCCACAACATCCCGTACATTGAAAACGAGAACCTACCAGAAATTATAGGTATAGTAGCAATAAGGCTTAATCAAAATGCATGCAATGTTAAGCAAATGAAACGACTTCCCAGTAAAAATGATCGACCAGGACCGGTCATGATTGAACTGAATAGTGAGCAAACACAATTAGCATGGCTAGCTGCTTCGAAATCGATAAGCCCCAGAATTACAGCTCAAGAAATATGCTCACACAACCACTCTTCAAATGTAAATACAGCAATATTCATATGCGAAGCCCTAACGCAATACAACAAGCAACTACTGTTCTATGCCAAACAGGAGCTCAAGAACTCATTTCGGTACATATGGATTAAGAAAGGTGTTCTGCGTGTACGCCGGACAGGAGAAAGCCAGAAACCAATTATAATACGTTCAGCGGATGATGTCAAAAGAGTTAAGCTAAGTACCTCCTAAATTTGTGTATTGCGCCTGTTTTTTTTTTTTTGTTTTTTTTTTTCGCTTCTCTGTTTACTATATAATATCGTTTCTTCGAACACTACTATGGATAGCACACCTGAAGATGTATATCAACTTACAGACTGTGTAGACATAAACACATTTTTAGATAAAATCCCTTATAACATAGAACTCCTCTGCATACATATGAACATAAGATCTGTCATAAAAAACTTTGATTCACTTGAGCAATGTATTATGTCTTCTTCTATGGTTATTGATGTAATTATGTTGACGGAAGTTAATATTTCTGACTCACTCAGTAACATATACCAAATAAAAGGCTATGTGATGCACACAGGACTGCGAAAAGGCCAAAAGGGCGGTGGCGTAATTATCTACATAAATAATAAACACAAATTTAAAATTAAACATTACAAAACACAACACTGCGAAAGCTTATTAGGAACAATATACACGCCTACACGCTATTCCGATGTCCTGTGTTGCATCTATCGTCCACCCAGTAGCAGTAAGCACCTGTTTGTTAAGGAACTTGACACACTGTTATGTAAAGTTCCAACACTAGAAGACCTATATATCTTAGGTGATATCAACATAGATCTACGCTCAAGTAGGCCCATTAAAGAAATTTATAACACTACTATGTACACCCATGGTCTAGTGTGCGGAATCAACGAGTACACACGCATTGAGTTAACAAAAAATGGACTTAGTAAATCTTGCATAGACCACATATACGCACGATCCCGCTCACTAGACGTGTACACGGCGGCACTGGGAACTGCTCTGGCCGATCACCGCGCTGTTGCGCTTGCAGTTACCGCTATAATGAATCGATTCACACGGGAGGATTCTAAGTATATCATACGCTACGACAATAAAAAACTAATAAAAAGTCTAAACGAAATAGATTGGAAGCCTGCCAAGCAAACTATATGTCCATACAAAATATATGAACTTATAATTAATAACATACACAAATGTTACGAAAACTCAACTGTTAAAATAAAAACATCAACTAATAAAAATCGTCATAATAACAAATGGATAAATAATAAGATATAATAAGATTTTAAAAGCTTGTGAATACCGGGATAAAATATTTAAAAACTGGATAGCCGACCCATCCAATAAAATCCTAAAACTGCAATATAACTCATCAAGGAAATTTGCAAATAAATTAATCTGGAAGTGTAAAAATCAAAAACTACGTCAAGACATCACAAACTATAAAAACAACCCCAGAGTACTATGGCAAATATTAAATGAACTCACTGGAAGGACAAAAATATTAGCTGATACGATTATTACCAATGCACTCGAAAAAAATAATACCTCAATTTATGATTTGACCAACAACTTTGCTTTATGTTTTAAAAATAGTGTTAAAAATATGCCAAAATGTAATATAAAGATTTTTGATAGGGAAACTTATGCAGATTTTCCTAAAGTATCCTGTCGCTTTCAAAAATTGACAGCAAAATCAACTCTTAAAGAAATAAAATCCATAAATAGCACTAAGGCACCGGGAATTCATAAGATTAGAGCGCAGGACCTAAAGACCATTGGGATTAAAATAGCCGACGTGATTTCTCATTTTATAAACGAAACCGTTAGACAAGGTAAGTATCCTAATGAGTTGAAAACGGGAATAGTTAGGCTAATACACAAAAAAGGAAGTCATAACATCTTATCTCTTAATCTCTCTTATCATTAAAAGGTAATATTTGATACAATAACTATTCTCAGACTCAGACAAAACAGTTGAAAAAGCCATTGCGAAACAAATTCAGACGTTTTATACAAATAATTACATTATCACTAACAAACAATACGGATTTCAACCAAAAAAGAGTACAACACAGCTTCTATCCCAATTCACTGACAGAACATACAAGCACCTTAATGACAAAAAACATATTCTTATAGTATTCATAGATTACAGTAAGGCCTTTGATACACTAAATCATGATACCCTACTTGCGAAGTTAAACGACTGTGGGATACAAGGCCCTCTGAACAAATGGTGTAAGAACTATCTCGAGGATAGTTCATTTGTGGTAAAGATCAGGAACACTCTCAGTATGAAAATTAAAACTTCTGAAGGAACGGCACAAGGCTCGGTACTTGGACCACTCCACTATATCACGTACATCAACGATGTAGTTAATATTGTCAAAAACTGTGAAATATACCAATTCGCTGATGACACGTGTCTTGTAGCCGCAGACAGGGATATTAATCTTGCTCTTAAAAAACTACAAAGCGACTTTACGCAATTGACAAAATGGTCGCACGATGCAGGCCTTGTTCTTAATGCGGACAAAACGAAACTCATGTACGTAAGCTCAAGTCAAAATAGAAAACCCTATAGCCTCAAACTAATCGCGCATAACCATAACTGTCTTCATAGCGATTTGACTAACTGTTCTTGTGCTCCTGTGGAGATTGTCAACAAACAAAAGTACCTAGGGTTAGTAATCGATAATCGTCTTAAATGGACAGAACATATAAACCATGTTTGTGATAAAGTACGTGCAATGCTGGCTAAATTCAGACTTATTAAGAATAAAATTCCCTTTCCCACGCTCTTACTTTTATACAAGGCCTTGGTGGAGACCACTATACATTATGGTCTTAGTAGTTATGGCAGAACTAGCAAATCACATCTTGATCAAATATATAATCTCCAAGTCAGTCAAAAACCATCGTACCTACGAATATAAAAAAAAAATATAAAAATAATTACCACCAACTTTTTTATCACTGCAACACCATACCTATATACGACAAAGTGAAATATATACTGCTCTGCGATCATTTCTTTACTGACAGTTTTAAAACATTTACCTACCGCAGCAGTAAAACAAGAAGTGCCTCTAATGCAATTCTTAATTTACCGAGCTATAGAAATTTATACGGAAAAGCAATGTTCCAATACCTAATACCAAAATTGATAAACTAGTTACCTACAACAGTTAAAGGCCAAATTGCTAAAGTGAACATCAAAAATAAACTTAAACAGCACTACTTATCTTTAGCATTACTAGCGTAAAATATAAAAAAAATTGTACAAACAATGTTACCCGTGTGAATCTACAAACCCAAACGAGTTACTCTGGCTTTTGGAGTTAGAGGTGCATAATATGTGTTATGCGTGTTGATTGGTCAAATAGCATGCGCAGTAATCATATTGCGCAATTAATGTGTAAGTAGGTAGTTAAGAATGAATATTACTTAGTTCAGTTCGAGCGACGGATGTCGAATCGCAGTGTGCGGTAAAACCAATGCTGGTTTATGTCACACTGTCACTAAATGTATTTAGATTAAGTTATGTGTAAATTAATTAAATAAATAAATAAAACATTAGATATATTAGGATATGAGATTCCTATACGTAAGCACGATTATCTAAAATCTAAAAATTACCTATTCTAATTAAATTAATAGACAATTTCAAGATTTTCGATAATCGTGCTTATCTATGATGTGTTTTCGTTAGTTAACAAATTAAAGTTGTTAAGTACCTAATGTACTACCTGTATCGAAAGTTCATTATTATGTACCTACCTGTTTTCAATTTTTACTAAATGTGCTCAAAAAACTTTTGGGCACATTTTAGCAGCTATATTCATCCTGGCTTCAGCAATGGACACGAACAAAGGGAAGCAATTTTTCTAAATAAAGATGTAGACATGTAGGTATTACAACCATAAATAGATAGCAGCGGCCTATGAGTATTCTTGGTTTAATACTCAAAGGCAGCGGCTAACCTATTGAGCATGTGTGAGTGCGCGCTGCGCCCCCGCCTCCCCCCCCTCCGTCCGTACCACTGATCGGGGAAACAATTTGTAGCGAAAGGCAAGATGATTTACAACAAAAAGGGGCGTGCGAAATTTTATAAACAGACCTTTGGTAATCTGGATGTCATGAAAAATCTATTGAATATATCTGCTTAAAATAAAATTATTTGCATTTTTGAACAACAAATCTATCCTTGTATGGTAACTGTTTTGCAATTTTCGTTCTTCTTATGGTATTTATTTCCGCCCAAAGATGTGTTAAAACTAGTGTTGAAATTTGGAATTTTCGACGCTTATAACTTTTAAACATACTCTTTTTTTACTTTTTTATTTCTATACAGGGCTAGACAATGATGACACAAATTGAAATCATTTTTTATTTTGGAACGTACACCATCAAACAGTGGCGTAATCGCCAGACTACGTTTGTATGGAAGAATAAGCGTTTAGTGTACCCTTAAGCAGGCAGTCTTTTGTAGACTATTTAGTCTGTCTGCAGTCGTCTTTTGGTTGGCCTTGTTACACCAGACAATAGAAGCGTAGGTGAGAATCGGCCTAACTATGCTGCTGTTCAGCTATAGTGCTATACTAAGACGCAAGCCCCAGTTGTTCCCGACAAAACCACTGCACGTACCCAAAGCAATTTTTGCCTTATGGCATACGTTGCGAAGGTGAGAGTTCCACGTTATTTTTTGGTTGATTGTTACGCTCAAGTACTGAACTTCAGTAGAAAATGATACTTCTTTATTATTAAGTTTTGGTGTGTCTAATTTGTTCAACCGTGTCTTTTTGGTAAAGGATATTTTAACAGTTTTATCAGTATTAACTGATAAACTGTTATGCCTACACCAGTTATTTATAGTATTTAGGGCTCTTTGTATGATTGAGAATGAAGTACTGGGATAAACATAAAAGTTTTTTGTAAGAGGAAGGGGTGGAAAACTTGTCTTGTGGGCAGTCTCTTGTATTCACATGAAATTTTATGATGTGGGGTGTCAAAGGCGCCCTCAATATCTAGAGATAGACTTTTAATCCTACAGTGCTTTTCGACCCTGTCAATGACACTGATGAGGATTATTTCCGTAGATTTGCCTCTGCTGTAAGCATGCTGGTTGTAATATATGGGCCTCGTAGCTAGAGCTGCATCCCTTATATATTTATCTATAAGCTTTTCCAGTATCTTAAGGAGAA